TCATCAGCATCAGCATCATCATAATCAGCCTCATAATAATCATCATCATCAGCACAGTCAGCATCATAATCATCACCAGCATCATCATTAGCATGATCATCATCGTCACCATCACCATCATCATCATCATCACCATCGTCATCGTCATCGTCACTATCATCATCAGCACCAACATCATCACCAGCATCATCATCAGCATCACAGCATCACCATCTTCGTCATCACCATTCGAACCCTCCGTATCATCATAAGCGTTCGCATCAATATCGTCGTGAACCTAATTAATAACATCGTCGTCGCGCCGTCGACTAAATGTTCCGGGAGAAGCCTCAGGAACATCAGGCCTGCTAGGTGGAGGGGCTCGGACGGGCCGACAGGTGACTGGGAACATCAGGCCAGCTGCGTGAGGGGGGGCTCGGAAGGGCCGTCGGCAGTGAAGGATTTTGGCCTCCTATGGGTCATCTAGGAAACGTTTGGGAGTTGCAATCTTGGAGCAATCGGGATGCTGCCTGGGGCCATGTGGAGGGCATCTCGGGGCGTCTTGGCGGTCTCGAAGGCCATCCCGAAGCCATCGTCGGCCATCTCGGAGCCATCTGGAAGGGTCTGGGGGGCCCTATTCGACCGTTTGGGGCTTCACTGGGGCTTCTACAGGGCCATTCTCGGATTATCCTGAAGCCTCAGCGGCCTCTCGGGAGCGAAAAAGCGAGACCCTCAGGAGTGCCTGGTTTTCCTCAGGTTTGTGAATGGTTTGGGCATCCTGAGGGCCTTTTGGAAGCCTCATGGACACTTCCAGACGCCGTGTTGGAGCGCTGTCTTGGACCGTCTGGAGGCTAGCTGGGACCGTCTTGGCGGGCTCGGGGATGTTTGAGAAGCTATCTTGGGCCGTCTCGGAGCAAGCTTGTTGTTGACTGTTCCTCGCAACCAGTGAAAAAAAGAATAATGGTGCGAAACTCGAGTCCGCAAATACGCTGGTCTTCGCCAAGGTCGCTCAATACATGTAGCTGGACTTGCACAAAACATGGATATGGTTCGCCCTGCCAGGGGTGACCACAAAAGAAATGGGTTACAATACGAAGACATGAAATTGATACGGACTGTCGAGGCAGACATGCACTACGCTGCCGAGGGGGTCTGGGCGTGAGCCCGAAACTTACCATAGGCGAATCCCCATCATCATCGTCACCATCAACATCATCATCATTATCGTAATCAGCACCATTATCATTACCAGTTTCATGATCGGTGGCAGAATCGCCATCAGCATCATCGTCATCACCATTATCGGTATCATCATCGTCATTTCTTCCTGGGGCCTCCTGGAGCCTCATGGGACCTGCTGGGGGGGGGCATGGACTCCACTGTGGCCTCCTGAGCCTTCTGTGGCCTCCTGGGGGTAGCGCGAGGAGGCGACACATGTCCACGACTCGCATTACAGCATTACAAGGGCACTGAATTGCAACGCCCGCAGCAATACAATATGCCAACGACTGCCTGTGGGGAAGTTGCTGTCGCAACAGACAGCATCGAGGAAGGAGCCTGGCTGCTCGCTTGCACCTCTAACACGGACGTGCGATGGGTACCAGCAAACATCCGACGGCAAAGCCTGCTCGCCCGAACTGGTTCACGTGCACTGTGCACATTCACAAACAGGAAGCCACTGTTCGTACGCCCGTGGGCGACACTCAGCACAGCATGGCGGAACAAGGGAATCCTCCAGAACTCGCAGCGGATCCTCTGGAACCCCTTGGGCATCCTCAGGAATCCCATGCGCATTTCTCCGAAGCCCAAGACAAGTCTCAAGAAACCCTGAGGATCGAGAATCCTGTTGACCTCAAAGAATTCCTCAAGAACCGCATAAGAAACCCGTGGGATTCTCAAGGGGATCCCCGGGAAACTATGAGGATTCCGACAAATTCCCGAATGATCCTCCAGACGGACCTGAGGATCCCCCTCCGCCTTCTCCGCTTACTCCTGTTCCTCCTCCTCATGTTCATCATCCTCGTCCTCCTCCTCCCCCTGATCCTTCTCCTTCTCCTCATACTCCTCCTCCGCCTCGTCCGCCTGACCGTCATCCTACTACTCCCTTCTCCTCCTCCTCCTCCTCCACCTCCAGATTGTCCTCCTTCTTCCTCGTCTTCTCTTCCTCCTTCTCCTCCTCCTCCTCCTCCTCCTCCTCCTCCTCCTCCTCCTCCTCCTCATTGTATTCCTCCTCGTCCTTCTCGGTACCTCCTCCTTCTCCTCCTCCTCGTTCTCCTTCTCCTCCTCCTCCTCCTCGTCCTCCTCCAACCTCCGCGTGCTGCCTCCTCCTTCACTTCCTGCTCCCCCCACCTCCTCATCCGCCTCCTACTCTCCCCCTCCCCCTCATCTTCCTCCTCGTCCTCCTTTTCTCCTCCTCATCCTCCTCCACCTCGTCTTCCGTCCTGTCCTCCTCTTCCTTCCTTTCCTCCTCCTCTTCCAACTCTTCCTCCTCTCTCTCCTCCTCCTCCTTCCTCCTCCTCCT